GTTTTCGTTTATTATTTTCTCTGATTTTTTTTTTTTTGATCTTTTGTAATGCCTTCTCTTCATCTTATATCTGAAGCTTCGTTTTATAAATCTTAAAATTAAAAAATAACTCTTAATATTGGTAATGGTAATAATGTAAAAGAACTATTTTTCAGTAACCTAACCTGTGATGAAATATATATATGGAAAAAAATATTTTTGTTTATAAATTCGATGTGATAACGATCAGGGTTTTAGCATGTATAATACACTTTAATCGATGACATCACTATCGATTTGCGTTTTAATGGTAGGAGTTATAACGGCGGGTATTGATGATATTTGTTAAGCGACCAACATGACCTATTGCCGCTCTACGGGATTCATAATAATGTGTCAAATGAGAAATTATAATATATTTTATAATACTTGCTATAAACAATAACGTTGCACGTTCCAACGTATTAGGTGGGCATGAGGTATGAGTCGCAGTGAATTAACATTTTTCTTACGACACTTGTAGGTAATAGTACTTACTTTTCTCTGGTTGTTTTAAAATTAAGAAATGATTACGGAAAGAAGAAATTAACCGCATAATATCATTAACGCGCTTGAGTGTGTGTGTGTAAAAACATACGACTGTGGCATATGTCAAAATTTCAAATCGGGAAAGTCTCAACATCAATAATCACAATATTGTCCTTCGGTGCGTATGCACAATTATAAAATGTATAATAGCAGTGTATACATATTTAGAATGCGCAGGTATAACATAATAATAATGTGAAACCAGAGATGTTATCGAAAACCTCGTCTCAATAAATAATTGTTATATTTTTCATAGGATATAAATAAATTTTTTTCTTCCGACGGTCATAAGACAACGCGTCATGAATTTCACTTTATCTAAATATTAAATACATACTCCACCTATAATAGTGTTCTCTTAAAAACGTTGTTTTCTCTCGCCGGTATATGCTGTCCCGCGCAAGGTCACTACACTAATAATAGTAAACACATTAATAGGTACCTACTATATGTACTTACCAACGATACTTCAGTGACGGATTATCGTTTCGGTTAAACAAATATCGTCAAATAGGTGTAGCCCGAGTAGAAAGCCTACCACGTAGGAGAGTTTCGTGAAAGGGAAGGTTTATTTTACTGATATTTCATATGTGTGTAGTACAGAACACATATAACTAGGTACTTGCACCCATTTATACATTATAACTAAAGACCGGATTTATATGCATTTAAAATTTTAAAATATGCATGCAAACATGCACAAAAGAAAAGGCAAAATATGCAAAAAAAAGATGCGAAATATGCAAAATTAAATTTCAGTTTTTATTACATGTTATATTTGATTTTAATTTTGCAGTAATGATTAGTTATTAGTTTTATTTACATTTTCATAAACAAAAAGTAAGATGTATAATATAACAAATATGTAATACAACAATATAATTAGTTAAATTGTTATTTAATTTTTTATCATTGATACATTGTAAAAAAATTAAATAACAGATACATTGGTGATATAGTTATATAAATAGGAAAAAAGTACGAAAAATGTTATGTAGTATGTTAATTGTAAAAACAACAACCTAACCTATTTTTAGCACCCGATTATTCTTTGAGATGTAAAATATTTCATATTAATATTATATAAACTTACCTATAATCTCTTTTTTACGTTTGCTCAACACATTTTTTGATCGTTAGGTGTATATTTGTACGGTTTTTTGATAAAATATGCAAAAATATGCACTATACAATTTTGATATTTATTCAATCAAGTATAATGATTTATGGAGACTCATTTACTGCATGTCTATGATGTTGAAAATAGCAACATGCATTTTATGCAAAATCCGGTCTTTAATTATAACTATATAACGACGTATACCTAGAACATTATTATGGTAAAAGGTGGTTAATGATGTCGATTTTTTGATGTTTATTACAATTTTCTATAAAATATAATAATATAATTTAACCGACCGTTCAATTAAAATTATTTTCTATAGATTATAGAATATAGTTCTGTGTAGTATGCACAACATACATTTATTATGAATTATGTTATAATGAGTAACGTCTGTGTTAAAGCAACCCATAAATTATTAATTATTATCATTACTACACTAACTTCAACGCATTATCCGTGTTCGTACAGATTATACATATATAGGTAGGTACTAGGCAGAACTATAGCAGAAAGAGTAACAGTAATCACTCAAAAAGGTATACTATAATTTATTTAATAAAATTGTGTCCGTCGTTTGACTCTGCATAGTAATAATAATTATATTATGTAAGTATTGTTATTAAAAACGCATATTGTTTTATTATTCTATGGTTATAATTATGATTCATATTATAATTATTTTTCGTATAGTCTTTCATCCCAATCGACAGTTTTAAATTTCTTATTTTCTCGTAAAGGTGACTTGAATGGAGTTAAACGTACGTGGATATTAGATTTTAAGTTATCAATGAGTTACGTGTAATTTTAAAGATAATGTATAATTTTTTTTTTTTGGTTATACATTATTAATATATTATGACATATGTATAATAACTTTATGTAGAGAGATACTTGAATCATGTTTTTTAAGAAGAATTTATAAACGTTTTATCTTAAGTATTTTTTTTTTTTTTTTGAACACCTTCACATTCTCCGGGTGAAAATTGAATGTTACATATTTTATTTATTTGAATGCTGCACGAGTAAGCTGTTAGGCGTGTGTACCTAAAACTAATTATTCTTTAATCGGTACTTACATAGTACCTAAGTACCTTTCTACGTACATAATAATATGAATCACTGTCAATTGCATTTATTATTTTTTTATTTACATACGTACTTACATGTACATCTCAACTGCTGAGGTTGTTGGCGTTTCTAAAATTCATTACAATTTAAAGATTTATACAAAATACTTTACGTATTTTACATGAAAGGCTTAAGTTATTTTAACTACATGTGATATAACATAATATGTATAAATGTCATATTTTATGGATCAAGTTCTTAATTTTGAGTAGTTGAAGGAGAAAAGATGTCATCCCCGGGTAGGGAGTAGGGTGCTTTACATAGATTGTAGGGGAGCACCGGTCTATCCTTGGAGTCCTTCGTCAACTGCAGGCATTCGATTAGCAGGGGTTTAACTGTAGTTGTGTTATTGTATTCTGTATTACTTTATAGTAGGTGGATATTCTATTTTTTAAAATTTTCCAAATATGTAAGAAATATATCATGGTTAATACTATTTTAGTATTTTATATGTTTATGCTATGCAATTGATTTAGATACCTAGGAATAGCTAGTTCTATCGTTTCAGCAGTGTTAGTTAAAGTTGAACAAACACATTGCATAAGCTCATCGAAAATTAAAATACATTTATAATTACATTTTCCCGAAACTACAAGCTTGACTAACGACTTTATCATCGCTTATTTTTTGTTCCGCGGAGTGGTTAACTGCATCTGCGTGGTTTGTGGTACACGGACATAATATGGTTTGGCTGAAGAATTAAACTAACTCTCACGTATAGTGTTTTATTTAATCTGACTATCTGAGTATTGCGTAATCAGGCATCATTCAACTCGATCCGAATTATATATCTTCGTGGCATTTACGATTTATAAAATTATACATGTCCACCACTTCTCAAGGTTGATGTGCACCTCGAATCGCTTCGAACTCAGTCATCCGGAGACTCGTGGTTCGACCAAAATGCTACTTTTCCGTCCTCGAGAGTCTCGGTAGAACCTAAATAAGTCAAAATTTAGAAGAAAATATTTAACTTCTTTTGGCTTATAGAGGGTTTGACTTACCTGCTATAGGGTTTTATAAAATACATTTGACTTAGAGAGTTCTTTTAATAACAACAATGTGTAGGTACATAATAATAAGTATTCATCTTTATTGCCTTTGTTTATTATTTCAATTCAAATTGCAACTATTATTACTTATGCATTTTAAAGTTGTTTAGATAAATGTGATAAGTAGAATTTATAAGATAAATATGTATATTGTAAATATTGCAGTTATATTATTATTAATTAATATGTTATCACAATCAATGGTTTGTAATTGTACTTTAGTGACATTCATTTAGTATGCCTTTATCGACGTACTTTATCTATATTTTTAGGGCAAAGAATCCTTTAACGTTTCTCATCATTGATGTTAGTGCAGCTTTTGCTTGCATCGCCGAAAGGTGAAATACTATCTCAGAATGTTCTTCTTCGACGTCATCTGTCTCTGCAGTATCAGAAATAGAATGAAGGTTTTTGGAAAGAAACGCCAGTATTTTGACTACTTATGTATCGCACTCAGGCAACCGCAGTGCAAATCGTATATTGAAAACACACTCGAAAGAAGACGTATTAGAGGAACCTTTATTAAGTAGCTACGCGTAGGTAAAATAACATACACCCATATATAAGCACCTCGGGGATGTCTAGTTATTACCTCTAATACTTGGATCGTGATTCAGAAATCATATTATGTTATATTGTATATATAGGTAAACCTGCAGCAGCAGTACTATTGTGCTCACGTTGGATAGCACAACCGTTTCGCACGTGGTGTAATACATTTTCAAAAAGAAGATCATTATTGGCGGAAAAAAAAATAATAAAAAACCTGCGAACCAGACGAGTGTTTGTACGTCTGCTCTATACGCTTTCTACTACTCGCTCGTGATGTATATATATATATGATATATACCCATTACGCTGCAGTATATACCTGGTGGGTATACCGACAAATACACTTACTTGTATAGTTGTATACATATAATATTCGACCGCCAGAGGAAAGTAGGTGAAAGAAGAGACGCGTATCCGAGACGACCACTATACAATATTATATTCGATGAGCGTTATCGGTGGGGAAACTACTGCGACGACGGCGGTGGGAGAACTGCCGCCGCCGCCGCGTACCGGTCCCGGACGAAGGCCGGGGGGCATTACCGCGGTCGCGAGCTCGGGTTTCTGCTCTCCAGCGGTGTTACACTGCAACCAGTGTCCAAACCGACGCTGTCAGGCGCGCGTCACTCGAGACACGACTCGCAACGCGTACGCACCAGTGTATTCACAACGAAAAAAAAATATTAAATAATAATAACGATATCGCACTACGTGGTCGCTGTGGGAAATTCAATTTTTTATTCGCAGTCGAAAATCGAGTTTTAACACACTTCGTCGTTGAAATAAATACTACTTATTATATGATATCGTCGTATATTTCGCCAACACCGCCGTTAGTGTCGTGTTTTCGTGTACCTATGTAAACATATAATTTGTCGTAGTCGTTTTCGCCGTTTTTGTAAAATAATATTCTAATAATATTATATTATAGTCTAATCGCCGCAATCGAGCCATGGGACGAGTTTCGGCAGTAAACACCGTACTCATCTGCTGCAGGTAAATACGATCGCGGGCGTCTAAGTTTCCCGGCTATTATAATATTATATGTTACGAGGAGTAGATATTACGGAGCGACGAACCCCGTGTTCACGGTCTGCCATAGTGTCGTTTCGGAACTAACGTTTCTTGCAATCGATATTGCGTAATTCGCATCCGTAAAACGCGATAAAATTCAATGCAATATATGAAATCGCATACCTATAATACGGCTATGCGTGTATCATGACAGAAAATAATGCAGTATAACACGTACGTGTGTGACTAAACGCGTGTGGGGGTTCATCCGGATATATAATAATAATATATAGCAAGCCGGCGGGCCGGGAGAAAGTGTCACTTTCACTGCGACCTTCGGCAGCCCTTAAGCTCTGCGTGCGACCGAAAAGTACGGATCCGTGGACGGATATTTTCATTTGTTATAATATCGATAGGGTCATCTATACCACACAGCATCGTTGCCCACCAAGCGATTCCGTTTGTAGAACAGTTTTTACCACTAATCAAACAGGGAGTGAGTGATATGGTTTTTTTTGCAACCAAAAAGGGAGAGACCGACCGGATGAAAAATCACACGATGACTAGTAACAACTCCAAATGTTTGGCTATAAACCATGACCATAGACCACATGATTATCGATGTAGACCAGCGGTCTCCCCTACGCAGACTTCGGGATGCATGGGCCCCTTTTTACAAATTTTGTGCGACCTAAGACTGAATTTTACGTTCTAAAGTCCAACATTATCTACACTTGAGAAAATAAAATAAATCTTAATATGTAAAAATACAATTTTTATAACTTTCATAACTTATAATTGTCTACTATCATTGAAAATGGAACTAGTTACAAGGAATCCTAACAACCTGCAAAATAGGAAAATACGCCAACCAAGTACTTTTTTTTGTAGCTCAATTTTATTATATTATACACAAATTAAAATTTATTAATTGCAAGTGGCCAGCAAGTAATTTTGAAACATGATGTTTGGTCCTTTCCAAAATCCTCTAAACCATGCTATTATCAAACTGGAATGCGTGCACCTTTCAAAGCTCTGTCCTGCTCAGTCATTAGTCCAACAAAGGGCAATTTAGCGTTAACTCTTAAGCTAAACCTATGTTATTAAATGCACCGATCGTGTGGGTATAACTGTACAAGAGTATGTATAATTGTATGGATACTCTCATAAACCTATAGAATCGGTCTCGGATTTGAGGTGACAAATAATGCTCTGACGGATAGATAGTGTGTCGCGTGAAAAACACTTTCAACCAGAACTTTCGTTTATGAGCACGCCAAAACTCGTTACTACAGTGTCGTGATTAAATCACACGGGGGTCGTAAAACGAGTAGGTAGAGATTATGATAGGAGATATGTTAAAATATTATATTATAGTTCATACTTCGCATTATTAATTACCGTCGGGACGTGTGGGGGCTAACTTCACAATCTTCTTATGATGTATATATTATACAAATCCGTGTAGACCTGCAATCTAATCGTTATTGTAATGCACATACAATAATTAAATAATATATATATGCAGCGTATAATGTATCCACACTATTAGACTACTTACCTGTAAACATAAAATAAATGCATTGTTTTTATGCGACGGTCATAAATGTCTAAAACTACGTTTTCCTTTCTAGAAATCGGTGCGTTTGAACGAGTCGACGAGCAGCGTATAGTGTGTACGAACATGGACATTGCCGTGTTGAAAAAATTGACCAGATCCGGTTTTATATTACTTCACATTATCGTGTTGCTGATCGGTAAGTCACACAAACTATAAATGATTATCATTATACTCGTCGTTATTTACTTTTTTTAATTTTGTCGTCTGTTCTGTCGTGATATATATATTATGACATCGACTATATACAACAAAATAAAATATATCGTCCGCACCAAACGCCATTATGATAACAATCATGAACGAGTACATAACAATATTACAGTTCTAATCGTTAACTTGCACAGTATTACATAATTTGTGTTTAGGTAATAGATTATATTATTATACTCTATATTAATAATACCTCCTATTCGTCAATTAGCGGGCACTAAGTATATTACACTCGTGCGTTAACCGTCGTCGTGTATTTACAAATCGATCGATGGAGATTTCACCAGCAATTTGCACTGATTTATTTCGCACGCGTTCGCACTGCTATTATACGCCTACATTGTACACATTACACACATAATATTTTAAATGACGTACATCCGATGGCCATTGACATCGGCTATCGGCTGAGATATTAGTCGCTAAGCTCAACCGTTTTTAATAAAATATCATAATAATTGCGTTGTCGTGGGATTTGTGTGTGCAGCATCGACGGCCGTGGAAGAAAGTCGTCTGGCAAAATAATTCATTGTCGTGTTATAATCTCATTTTATTCACACGCATTACACACACCACACGACTGAACTTTACACGTCGAAAAAATATACCATTATAATTTATGCGAGCGCGTGTGGAATGACGTATCTATTGATATTATAATAATATATATAGGTACTATACATTTTACGGCTAGGCGGCACGCACCTAGTTTTCTATAGAAACTTAACCCGTGCAATGCAAAACAAACAAAGTGATACCGGCACGTCGGTCGAGTCATCATCTGCACATATCATTATAGAGTCCATACTTTAGTGATTTACCTAAATAATATTATATTGCGTACAATAGCTGATATACGCGCGCTATAATATACCATAATATAATTTTTATTTTTTTCTTATACGTTCAGAGCAGTCAAAACGTTATTTTTTTCATCCCACATGAGCTCAATCCAATAATATGCTCTGTAAATCGAAACTTAGATATTATTAGTACCTATATCTGAAGTATTACTTCCACGTTTTGTTTTACCATACCCTATAAGAGGAAAAATGGTTTTCACACCTCTCTGCGATTGACGGACTCGAACATATTGTTTTAAGAAACATTAAGTACTTGCAATATTGTTATCGTTGGTGTCACAACCACTACCGCAACGAATCGAAACCCTCAAGCGTTTTAAGAAAGCCCTCCACGCTGGGCGTTTTGAAAAACCATGAATTACGAATCTTATAACAATGCAATAATTAATTAAAAAAACCATCTACTCTTAAGGAACGGGCTTATTTCACTCCACTGTCAATGTCTGAATTGTAATAATAATGATGACGGACGTTTTTTGACTAAACAATATAAAAATTTAGAAAATAAATAATCTACTTTCAATGACATAATTCGATATTGTTTATAAATTATTATGATTTTACACACTACATAATAAAATAAGTTTTCACAACTCATATTGTTCGGTTTATACAGGTTAAAACGGTTATTGGTTAAATAGTAGGTACCTGTTTGAAAATAAAGTGATAGTTACTATAAATTTAAAATGTGTAATTTGTTTCAACACGAACATATTATCTAAAAACCGAAGGAATACGTAACACCATACATATTTAATAGTAAATACGTACACAAATTTAATATTTATTATATTAATTAATTAATAAACCAATCTATTAATATATTGTTTCCATTTGTTCAATTTTTTACCATGTTTTAAATTTTAATAATTTGCAACTGCTACCAAATAAGTTTCCAAGGTGGAAACAAATAGCTTCTGTGAACCAGGATTTAATAATACGACCTCTGAAGAAGGCTATATGCTTAGTTTAAATTCAAGACAGACGTATCTTGATAATTATTACTTTTTGGGTGTTATTCAAAACACTATCAGAAAAAAAAATGTTATTCTTGAGTTTAAACATTCTATAAGTATAAAAATAATATCTAATAATAACATTCGTATAAATGTACATGTACATCATACTATACAATTTGTAAAAATCCATTTCGGAGTAATTGTATAGAATCGATCCAAATATCATCACGGTGTACCTGTTATATATGATATAATAATAATTTAAGCACTCAGATGGTTCGCTCAAGAGAAAACTCGAATAATTTTTAGAATTCAATAGGAGTTTCAATTAAATGTACTCTTTAATATAATATTATATTTTATGCTGATATCCCTTCTACTACGGCGACTATGACAGTATGTTCCTTCAATTAAATAGGTAGCTATAAGTAATTTATATTCACGGCGATGGTCAACAATCGTACAGCAATGCGCGTGGTGCACATGACGACGTTAGACAACATATTTTACTCATACCTACTACCTATGCACGAATGGGATACTTACTTAAACGAAAAGAAAAAGAAGTGTTCCACCACATTGGGGTCGCAGTTAACCTCATCGCGGTTCATCTCACACGCCTGTAATATAGTCGAGGTTAGTTGTAGTCTACAATAATCGCCGAAGTATGTTTAATAACAATATCGTCGAAATCGCCATAATCATCGTAGTCGGCATGGTATACAGCATGTACACAGGCATATTATAACATTAGTAGTAGCTTCTTCTGTTACGCCGGGGCGTAGTAGTCCGGCACGTAAACGATAATATCATATCATAATATAATAATAATTATGTCCCCGAGCTGAACGTGAGCGCAAATGGTAATCATATATATATATACAATATGTACCTAACTGAAATCGCGGAGAAAAATATAATATCGTATTATAGCTCCTCGAAAAACTGGTTCAAGGTCCGGTGCATCGTTCCGTCGTCCATTCTCCCGCTCGCGCATATATTAGAAAATTGTTGGAATACAAACGGCCATTCATAATAATAAATTATAATAATTACATTATATTAATGCGGTTTGAGCGCCGGCAAAGAGTCACGATAGTGTCGTGGTCACGACACTCGTCAGACGAATGAGGAGAAAAACAAAAAGGAGACGTTTCAGCGGTTATCAAGCTGCGGCGGTTTGCACGCACAGCATAATAATAATATTCTCTCAGCAGTGGTACACTGTATACTGCAATGTATAGAGAAGTATAATATGCCACCGAAATGGAACATTATTTTTTTCTCACGGAATTTCAAAATTCGGCTGAAGCAGTCCCAGGCGAAAACACTTTAATACGGAGAGTACACATCACAGACACGACGGTTCGAAAAAATATGTACTTATTTCGATATTCACCGATCGATTTACCCGGTGACAATAGGCGATATCATAATATAATAGTTGAAATTGCATGATGAAGTGTTTTCTAATTCTCACCGGAATGGAATAGTTTTAATTACCGTCTGGTAAACGCCCTTATTATAATTCGAAGAACCTACATATTAATATTTTTTTTTTTTTACGTTTCGTCGTTGGTAAGTAGGTATTGCGAGAACAATAGCAATAAATGTTTATTAACAAGACTATATATAATGACGCGAGGACATTCGAATTAGGTATGGCGTGTAAATGATAACTATTTGCTGACATTGACTTTCGTTGAATGGAGAAAAAAAATACAACAACGATTTCAGTATCATAACGTTTTTCCGGGTACAATTTCGTCGACCATATATCATAAATTCATGACTACCTGCGACATATTCAATGCGAAAAACCAACGGTACGTAACGCGATAATATTATTATCATTATATACGGACAATCTGCAAAGAATAATAACAAATTTATTTCATAATCAAATGTATGTAATATGCACCACGTACTTATCTATATAGTATGATATTTTAATAATACAAACAAAATGATGATCAAATCACTCAAATTTATGATAATTGTTAAAAATGTATGTGCGCTGTACAACCGTATGTATTGTTACAAGCATTAGACGACAAAAATAAGATAAAATTTGAGTGAAACGCGTATTTTTTAAACTGCAGTGGCCCCGTCTGCATGGTTATTAATACCAATATTGTCACACACGTACCACCCGCTACGACGTATATTGTAGACCAGTAGACCGATTTTATTGTTCGTGAATTATAATCATATAAGATTATAATGATATATTTTAAATACTAAATAATTGGAAGAATTACGAATATGGTTGCAATATTGTGCGCAGAGTTCATAATTATTATTTTCACAGGATTTCCGCAGCCGGTTTTTAAACAAAAATCGCAGACATCGTTTTCGCTAAAACGGAACGTTATTAATTTCAATACTCCACGTTTCCAATACACACACGATATCGTAGAACGTTGTTCTCATCCGGAATTTTCTTTTTAAATGCCTGGAGATCCATACCGACGACACTTCGCAGAACGACAACGGAACCATTACTTGAATTTATATTAAAAAAAAACCCAAAGAATTCGAAATGAAAAAAAAACTCGACTCACGCTATTTTCAGACCATGTGTGTTGGCCAAGTAAATATTTTATGTGCGAAGACGGCGAGAGCGTTCTCCAGCAGTTCACGCCGCCACGGCAGTAGACCGTTTTGGACGTCGCATGAACTCTTGGCCCGATTCGACATCTAGTCGAAGCTACCGTTTACGTTCTTTTAACCACGTCTTCCGTAATTCGTGATGTCGTATATTTAGCAATTATCGCAATATTATTGCCATGACCATCATGCGACCCCATCCGACTATTTCAGCTGCAGCATCGGTATATCATGCTACAGTACAGCTTGATTAGACGATGAACTCTGGTTCGGTGCTAACCTAACCATCACGGGTATATGTTCATTTTTTAATTTTCCAGGAGGCGTACAAAATCTAGATGGTTAAATTTCCAATTTATGTGTTAAAACAATTTAATATGTATACATATTAGTTTGCCAATCAGTGTAATAGGTATAAAAAAAAAGTAAATATCATTAATTTCAATTAGACCTCATACATTTTTTCTTTTTAGCATATCCAATAAGCGCAACAA